AATAACAGCAAAATGGACTATGTTTTAAATGGTTAAAAAATTGCAGCACACTGCTGTGCAAAGGGACTTGGGTGTCCTTGTGCATGAATCACTGAAGTTGGGATTGCAGGTGCAGCAGGTGATTAAAAAGGCAAATGGAATTTTGTCTGCCATTGCTCGAGGGATGGAGTTTAAAAACAGGAAGACCACACCTGGAGTACTGTGTGCAGTTTTGGTCTCCTTACTTGAGAAGAGATATACTAGCACAGAAGGGGGTGCAGAGGAGACAACAAGGTGCAGGGCTGGATGAACACAGCAGGCCAAGCAGCATCATAGGAGCAGAGAGGCTGACGTTTCGGGCCTAGGCCCTTCACCAGAAAAAAAAAAGGGGTGCAGAGGAGATCCACTCGGTTGATTCCAGAGTTGAGAGGGTTGGATTATGAAGAGAGACTGAGTAGACTGGGATTATACTCATTGAAATTCAGAAGAATGAGGGGAGATCTTATAGAAACATATAAGATTATGAAGGGAGTAGATAAGGTAGAGGCAGGGAGGTTGTTTCCGCTAGCAGGTGAAACTAGGACTCGAGGGCATCGCCTCAAAATAAAGGGAAGCAGATGTAGGACTGAGGTCAGGAGGAATTTCTTCACCCAAAGGGTTGTGAATCTGTGGAATTCCCTGCCCAGTGAAGTGATTGAAGCTACCTCACTGAATGTTTTTAAGGCAAGGCTAGATAAATTTTTGAACAGTAAAGGAATTAAGGTGTGGACAGGTAAGTGGAGCTGAGTCTCAAAGATCAGCCATGATCTTATTAAATGGTGGTGCAGGCTCGAGGGGCCAGATGGCCTACTCCTGCTCCTAGTTCTTATGTTCTTATGTTCTTATGTAGTGTTTCTCACAGTCTCTGCAGGGGATCTTGGAGATGACATTGGTCCTGTCCATGGCGGGGAGTGGGTGTTTAGTTCGGGTGAGCACTTGTCGTAGGGTTGATGTGGGCTTGTGTGCCACTCTGATGCCCAGCAGTCGTAGAAGTCTTGTGGTGAGTTCTGACGTGTTCCTGATGTCGGGTAGTGTGATGAGTGTGTTGGGGCGTGTAGAATCTTTCTGATGCTGTTCCTGTAGAGGAACAAGAAAAGACAGACCCTGCAAGACAAGCTAACCACACTTATCCACAAAAGTGACAACAACAGAACTGACACATGGATAAGGAACCTCTCTGACAGGAAACTGACAGACGCGGAATAAGCTGTTCTCACCCGGGGACTGAACTACCACTACAGGGACGCCAACAAAACGGAATGGCTAGCTACACTGGAAGCCACTCTCAAGACCAACAATATCAACGAAGAAACACACCACAAACTATAAGACAGACAGTAGTGCCGATACTAACCAGAAAGAGGGAACTCAACACCCTCAACACACGGGAAAGACAAACCCTGGACAGATTAAAGAAGGACAAGAACATCACTATACTACCTGCAGTCAAAGGGCGCATGACAGTGATAATGAATAAAAAGGACTACATCTCCAAAGCACATGCACTGCTCGCTGACGAGAACACATACCGACCGGTACAAACTGACCCGACACCACAACTAGGCAACAAAATCCTATACAAGCTACAAAGACTTAAACAAACAGGACAGATCAACAAAACAGACTTCTTAAGAATGAAACCCGAAGGAACCAACACACTCCGATTCTACGGCTTCCCTAAAGTGCACAAGCCGGAAGTCCCCCTTAGACCGATAGTCTCCCTACCAGGCACTCCATCGCACAGATTAGCCAAAGAACTACAAAGAAGACTCAAGCACCTAGTCAACAAATCACCCCACTCCATCCACTCAGCCCAAGAATTCCTGAACTCCATCAAAGACATAAAGATAGAGGACGAAGAGACCATGATGTCGTTTGATGTCACCACCCTATTCACATCAATAGACATACCACTAGCAAGGGAAACAATGACAACACTACTTGAACAAGAACACGACCCCAGTGAAACCATCTCCAAGGACAACATGCTTAAACTACTGGACCTATGCCTGACCATCCGCTTCATCTTCAACGGCCAAACATACAAGCAAATCAACGGGACACCCATGGGATTGCCTATCTCTGGAATCATAGCAGAAGCAGTGATGCAAAGACTGGAAAGGACTGCCCTTCCGCAAATCCAACCTAAACTATGGATACGCTACGTAGACGACACCTTTGTCATCAATAAACGGACCAAATTAGAAGAGACACACAAACTCATAAACAACACCCTCACCGGAATAAAATTCACCAGAGAGGAGGAGAACAAACAACTCCCCTTCCTGGACATCGTGGTAGAGCGCAAGACAAATGGGCAACTGCAAACGAAAGTACACCGAAAAGCCACACACATAGACCAGGTATTGAACTTCAATAGTAACCATCCCAGCACACACAAACGAAGCCGCGTGCGAACACTATTTAAAAGGGCAACAACACACTGCAGCAACATAGAACTACGCCAAGAGGAGGAGGAATACCTCTTCCAAGTGTTCAAGGATAATGGATATCCAAAGAACTGGGTCAGGAGATGCCTACAGGAACAGCATCAGAAAGATTCTACACGCCCCGACACACTCATCACACTATCCTACATCAGGAACACGTCAGAACTCACCACAAGACTTCTACGACCGCTGGGCATCAGAGTGGCACACAAGCCCACGTCAACCCTACGACAAGTGCTCACTCGAACTAAAGACCCTGCCATGGACAGGACCAATGTCATCTACAAGATCCCCTGCAGAGACTGCGAGAAACACTACGTCGGACAAACAGGAAGGAAACTAACAACAAGAGTACATGAACACCAACTGGCTACAAAAAGACACGACCAATACTCACTCATCTCAATCCACATGGACAAGGAGAACCACGACTTCGACTGGGACAACACCAAGATCCTGGGACAGGCTAGGCAGAGACAAGCACGAGAATTCCTGGAAGCATGGCACTCCACGAAGCATGCTATTAATAAACACATTGAACTCGACCCCATATGCATTCCACTACGGAGGAAACCCAGAAGTGAGGCAATCCATCGCAACGGACGCCAAAGTTTAAAAACCAGGCGGGAAAACACACCGACATTTCATCAGAGGCTGCACTGAGCATGTTACCAAGCATGGTAACAAAACGTCTGCGGAACAACAAACCAGCTCGGCGAGCCAGCCAACCTCAACAAGATTCTATGATTTCCGAAGCCTTTCCCCATTTAGAAAATAGTCAATTCTTCCTACCAAAGTGTGTAACTTTGCCACTTATTTGCCCTGGGATTTCTTGACCTTTAATCCCATCAAATCCCAAAATACATTTTCTCTATGAGTACTGATTCCTTCAGTTCCTTCGTGTTAGATGTTCCTGTGTTCCCCGACATTTTTGAGACATTTGTGTCCTCTTTTGTGAAGGCAAAACCAAATATATATTTAATTGGTCTGCCATCTTTGTTGCCCATTCTTAATCTGATTGAAAGGGGCCTGCATTTATCTTCGCTTTTTTTTTCATTACAAGCTTTTACAATCAATTTTTGTATGTTACCCGGAAGCTTAAATTCATACTCTGCTTCCCCCTTCTAATCAATTGCTTTTGGAAGCCATGCAGTCGTGCATTGGATTTTTCCTCGTTATAGTGATGAAGTTACTTTGATCCTCCCTACCAGAGCTTCTTACATACTGTTCCTAATATTTCACCTATCTGAAATAAATATAACAAACTTTTCAATTCCAGTCTCTTTAGACCGTTAAAATGATCTCTGTCCTTTTATCCTGTAAGTAAACTCCACAGACAGTCAAGGAAATGTCTGTTTGTAAAAGTCAGAATAAAGACTGTTGGCATGATTTGGAGCTCCTATGTTTGCACTCAGTGCATCTTGCAAAATTCATCAGTGAGTGGAAAATCATATGCAGTATATCTGTGATTTCCTGAGATATGCTTCTATTAAGTGTTAGAATCTTGTGCTCACCCCCAACATGAATTGCATTACAGGAAAGATGTGGAAGCATTGGAAAAGGTGCAAAGGAGATTTACCAGGGTGTTGCCTGGAATGCAGGGAAGATCTTATAAGGAAAGGTTGAGAGATCTAGGGCTTTCTCTTTAGAGCGACGAAGGATGAGAGGTGACTTGATAGGGGTGTACAAAATGATCAGAGGTATAAATAGAGTGGACAGCCAGAGACTTTTTCCTAGGCTGGAGGTAGCTATTACGAGGGGGCATAGTTTTAAAGTGCGTGGAGGTAGATATAGGGGAGATGTCAGAGGTAGGTTCTTTACTCAGAAAGTGGTAGGGGTATGGAATGCATTGCCGGAGAGGGTAGTGGAGTCGGTCTCATTAGGGGCATTTAAGCGGCTATTAGATAGGCGTATGGATGATTGTATAAGTTAGGGGTGGAGGTTAGATAGACCTTAGGTTTAGGGTAAAAGTTTGACACAACATCATGGGCCGAAGGGCCTGTACTGTGTTGTACTATTCTATGTTCTATGTAGATCATGTGAGAGGAAAATTGTGGTGAGTCAATTGTTCCAATTTGCTGTGCTAAATCTTTTGCTTTGTTGAATGTTCAAGGGATGTCGAAGAACACAGAAGAACAAGGTTGCTTCTAAATGTCCACCATTATAGTTCTTTAACCAGATGTACAGAGAAGTGGATTTCGTAAAAAGTGAAGAAGTGATTGGGTTTTTTATTGTCGCACTGTTTAATCTTTTAAAATGTGCAGATATACATTTATTTTGCACTGTTATAAAAGGATGCCATAAATGCATTAAACTTGATTAATATGGCTGAGTAATTTCAAATGAGTTGATGCCATTCAAGTCGACGATAAGATTGGAAGCATTCTATTTTGTAGCTTTAGTTTCTTGTTTACCCAAACTAAAATGTCATTTGAAAGGTTAAATTTTAAACCTGAAACTTTGGATTGAAGAACGCATGAGAAACACAGAGTTTTGTCTAAATCTGCTAAAAATTCTTTCTTTCTGATGCAGAGTGAATCCGAACGCTTGCAGAATCAATTGTCCCTTGTGCGATGCCAGCAAAGCCGTGATTCTGAGCAACACCATAATCTTATTACCAATCTAAATGAGCAGTTGAAAGAGTAAGAACGTTAACTTCTATATTTCAGATTGATGTAGAATACAATTGTTGTTCAGATTTGAGTTTTCAGAAGGTTAGTTTCGCAATTACGGACATTACTTCTTGGTATCCTTCATGTTCTTTGGGTGTTGTTTTTCAGAAGGTTCATATAACACATGTTTGTCTAAAAATGGTGTCAAGATGTGACACCTGGTCTCCTGCTTGAATAAAGGTCCTGAGGATAAATCATTTTATTTTACCCAACTAAAGTTTTTTTTCGCTCCTCATTTTCGACCTCTTGTTGGTTAAGGCAAACTTTTTAAATGGGATGAGATAAGACAAAGTTGGAGTGTTATATATGCCAAACTAGTAAGTATTATTAGAACCCTCGCTGATGCCATTTGTTTGTGAGACCAGCCTGGAAACTAATTGCAGGCTGAGCCTTGATTTAAGAAGTTCCAAATAAATAAGCAACCCCAGGAAGAGTATTGTGTTTAAACAGATTGCAGAAGTTGGGGCATCTCATTAGGTCAGGAATTTTGTTTTGATCCACTTTCTTCATGAATTGTAGCTGCTACAAGGCTCGAGCAGCCCAAATGAAGCCCATGTCCGGCTCTGTCATGTGGCTAATGTCTTGAAACGTACAGAATACTTAGAGATAGATAAAATAAATGCAGGTCAGAGCCTTCCCCCTGTTTGGGAAGTCTTGAACCAGGAACACAAATTTACAATAAGAACAAATTTGCCTCAGTTTGAGATGAAGGTTGTGAATTTTAGGAATTATTTGCTGCAAAGGTCTGTGGAAACTCAGTCTTTTGAATATCTTTGCTGATTGTCAGCCATGATTGTATTAAATGGTGGAGAAGGCTCAATAGGCTGAATGGTCCACTCCTGCTCCTGTGTTCCTCACCACCTTGACTTGAGGGAGAAGTGCAGGAAAACTGGAATGATCAAGTGCCGCTCGAGGGGTGTCTATCTTCTGTGTTTCTGACAGACATGGCATAGTCAGATGAAATGACATTCAAAAAAACTGGGTTAGCCTTCAGCTGGAGTACAGTGTCCCTGTCCTGGGCACCACGCAATCCTTTCAGGAGGGCATCAAGGACTCGGGGTGCAGCAAAGATTTCCTGGGATGTTCTGGGGCGAGGGGCTTCAGTTCACACGGGGAGAAACTGCGAGGAGCTGGGACCGCCCCCCTCAGAGCAAATAAGATTAAGTTGAAGGGAAATTGAATTGGGGTGTTCAAAATCACCAGGGGTTTTGATCGAGTCGATGAGGGGGAGACAATCTCCGAGTCAGGAGAGTCAACTACCAGAGGACACGGATTGGAGAGAATCGCGAGAATCCTCCTCTGGAGTATTGTGTGCAGTTCTGGTCACTCTTTATTGGAAGAATGTTATTAAACTGGAGAAGGCTCAGAAGAGATTTACCAGGATGTTGCTCAGAATGCAGAGTTTAAGTTATGGGGAATCGCTGATTAGGCTGGGACTTTACACTGGAGCGTAGGACGTTGAGAAGTGACCTTGTAGAGGTTTATAAAATGACGAGAGATATAGATCAGGTGAATGGCAGGTGTCTTTTCCCCAGGATGGGGGTTTTCAAGACTAGGGGGCATATTTTTAAGGTGAGAAGAGACCTGCGTCACTTTTTGTTAACACAGAGAATGGCTCGTGTGGAATTGGTGGATGTGGGTACAGTTACAATATTTAAAAGACATTTGGATAAATGCATGAATAAGAAATGTTTGGAGGGATATAGGCCAAGTGCAGGCAGGTGGGACTAGTTTAGTTTGGGATTATGGTTGACATGGACTGGTTAGACCAAAGAGCCTATTTTCATGCTGTGTGACTGTGATTCAAAAAAAAACTAGCTATTAGTGAAGTCAGTAGCTTGGAGTTGCTTCTGGCAAGTTTGGACTAAACCCGTATGTTCAAGCAAGTGGCAGTTGTTGAATTGCATTTCATGCTTCAGGAAGAGCCGATCAGTCTATCAGGGCTGAACAAGAATTAACATTTTTCTTGAACTGTGTTTTTACTGAGAGATGGTTCTGGTCTGCTGCTGAGACAGCATGAAAATTTGTAAAGTTCTTGCTAATCTGCTGCACCAGCTTCCAGGAGCCCAAAGAGCAGAAAGCAGTAAAAGTACTGTCTTTGCCTAGGCAAAATTGATATCCTGATCAATGTTTCAGAAAAAGCAAACAAGGAGTCCACAAGGAGTTCCCTGAACCACAGTGGGACCAGCATCCTTGCAAATAGTTTTGCTAGTGCTGTTGGGAGGAGATCAAACTAGTCTGACAGGGGGAGGGGGCACAATATTGATGAAATGGAGACACATAATGCGACAGCAGTGAGATCAGCTATGTTGAGTGTTGCGAGAGTAAAGCAATGCTGAATGCTCTTTACTTTAATACTAGGAATGTGTTAGGTAAGACTGATGAGTTAAAGGCATGGATTGACCCATGGAAGTGTGATATTGTCATCACAGAAACATGGTTGAGGGAAGGGCAGGACTGGAGACTCAACATTCTGGGGTTTGGATCTTTAAGTGAGACAGAGAAGGGTGTAAAAAGGATGGTGGAGTTGCACTATTAATTAATGAGTCAGTTACTGCAACAAGGAGAGATGGTATCTTGCGAGGGTCTTTAAACAAGGTTTTGTGGTTGGAATTTAGGAATGTTAAGGAGGCAGTCACATTACTGGAGTGTACTCTCGGCCCCCAAAAAGTCAACGAGAAATAGAGGAGCAAATATGTAGGCAGTTCAGAGGTGTGTAAGAGTAATAATCGGGTGATGAAACTACATAAATTAGGATAGTCATTGTGTAAAGGGTTTTGATGGAGAAGATTTCTTGAACTGTATTCAGGGGAGTTTTTTGTATCAATACATAGGAGATCCAACAAGGGATGGCGCAGTGCTGCATCTGGTTCTGGGAAAAGAACCCAGAAAAGTGCTCGATGTGGCAGTGGGGGACATTTTAGTGATAGCATCCATAACCCGGTATAGTTAGATTTGTTTTGGATGAGGAAAAGGATGGCATGCAAGATATGGCTTTGGTTTGGAGGAAGGCAGATTTTATTTTAAATAAAGCAGGATCTGGCCAAAGTTGACTGGGAACAGCAACTTGCCAGTAAGCCAATGCTTTGCTATAGAGGGACATTCAGAAAGGAGCTAAGGAGAGTACAGGTTCAATGCATACCCTTTAGGGGCAAATATAAAAGCAGTAAGTTCAGGGAATCGGATAACTGGGACAATTCAGAACTGGATACGAAAGAAGAGAAGAGCCTTTAGCAAGTCCAAAGGGAGCAATTCAGATGCTGTCCTAGAGAAATACTGGATGCACGAGAGGGAACTAAAGAAAGCAATTAGAAGAGCAAAAAGGGGGCATGGAAAAGGACTTGCAAACATGATTAGGGAGAATCCAAAGATATTTTATATACACAAGAAAGGGAAGAGGTTAACCAGTAAAGAGCAGGGCCCATTAGGGTCCAAGTGGGCAATCTGTTTGTGAAGCCGCAGGATATTCGAAGGATGTTGAATGAATACTTCTCTTCAGTCTTCACACTGGAAAAGGAGAACGTAGGTATAGACTTTTGGAAAAAGGATTGTGAGAAACTGGCACAGTTTGACATAGGAAGTGGGGGGGTATTGGAGGCTCTGTCAGGCTTAAAAACAGACAAATTCCCTGTCCCATGTGAATTGCATCCCAGGCTGTGTGGGAAAAGAGGCAGGAAATTGAATGGGCTGTGACACAAATTTTTTAATTTCTCTCTGGCAATGGGGGAAGTGCCAGAAGACTAGAGGACAGCTAATGTGGTTCCACTTTTCAAAAAAGGTAGTAGAGATGAACCAAGAAGTTACAGACCGGGTGTGTCTCGTGTCAGTGGTAGGGAAACTATTGGAGAAAAGTCTGAAGGAGAGAATTAATATCCACTTGGCAAAGCGTGGGTTAATTAGGGATAGTCAGCGTCACTTTCACAAAGGGAGGCCAAGCCAAATTTATGAAAATGTGATCAAATGTGTGGATGAGTAAAGTTCAGTTGATGTAGTTTAAATGGATTTTAGCAAAGCATTTGACAAGGTCCCACATGGGAGACTGATTGAAAAGGTTAAAGCACATGGAATTGAGGGAAACTTGGTAAGATGGATCAGAAACTGGCTTAGTAATAGGACATAAAGGGTAGGGGTAAAAGGCTGTCTGAGTTATTGGCATCCAGCAGCATAACACAAGGATCAGTACTAGGAACCTTATTAATTGTCAAGCTATTATTTACCTGTAAATGATATAGATGAAACTATGGGGGAATTAAAAGGCAAGTTTGCAGATGACAACAAGGTTGGTAAGGTGGAGAGATAGTAGGAACTGCAGATGCTGGAGAATCTGAGATAACAAGGTGTAGAGCTGGATGAACACAGCAGGCCGAGCAGCATCAGAGGAGCAGGAAGGCTGACATTTCGGGCCGAGACCCTTCTTC